AGAGAAGAGCAAGGAAAAAGGAAGAAAACGAAAAAAATAAACGTCAAATCGAATCAAATGATTTTATGATGTAATTTGAGCTAATATTTACGATATAAGAGCAGCTAAAACAGCAGCAAAATGCCAAATAAATGTTATTGTTATATTGTCGCTTGGGTGGTGTTGCTGCCGAGACAAACATATACCACTTCGCACTCTCTCTCTGTTCCTCTCCCACCCACATTTATGATGCTGCAGAGAGAGATAGATAGAGAGGGGAAATAGCAAAGAAAAGAGTGCAAAATTATTTGCCAGACTTTAAGTTCGAGCCAGAGAGGGAGATCTGAAGGGGGGGTTTACCCTCCCCACCAGGGAGGAAGAAGGCAGGCAGAGTGTCAGAAAAGTCAAGTGTTGCTGTGTTGTTCTGTCAATCCTCCGGGGTGCCATAGACGAAATTGCTCTTTCGGTTCGAAACAAAAGTTTCTGCCTGCAAAAAGCTTTAACGTTTCCATCCACCCGCCCCCAAAACGTTTAAATCCGAACAGACCAGACCAGTATCGGAATACGAATACGGAATACTGGTGTAAGTCAGGTAACAAATGTCTCCCAAAAGAATTTTCACAGATCTGTCTGGCCTGGCAAACGGGACAAAGATGTCACAGGGGCTACTCAACACCAGTGCTTATCCATTGCAAGTGACAAATTAACGCTCAGCGGGGGATGGGGCGGGACAAACCACCACCACATTGAAAGACCCTTAACGGTTAGCCGTAACTAACCGCAACAGTAACTGTTACATCCGCCGTAGCGTAACTGTATCTGTAACTGCAACTGTCCTTGTCCTTGGCCCGTGATTTCTCCCCGGGGAGCAGACCACATAATTGCCCAGCAATCAACAGCTGTTCCAATAGACAGGAACAGAGGTAGGCACGGCACCAACCTGATATAATTTATGGCCCAAATGATCTTTGCTTTTGCTGTACTACTATTTCTGTATTTGCCATTGGCATGGCTCTTAAGTCGTGTTCTGTGCTGTGTAAACAATTCGCCTTTGTCGGCATTTGAAGTTATTGGAAGTTATGGGAATCGATCCATAAGCAATTGGACTCGATTGTTAGGATTGTTAATGTTTAAAGATGGCCCAGGCAGGAATTATAGAATACACTGGGCGATCCTTCAAGAGACATTCAAGAGATATTCTTTAGCTGAAAGGAGAAAAAGATTATATTAGAGCTGAATGTATGAATAGGAAGAGATATATCAAAACATATAGAAGAATCAACATAGTACAAAACTCTGTAATGGTTACAATTATAGTTTTTACATACATATCGGAACCGCAAAGAACCCCAATTTTCGCACAGTGCCTCATTCTGCACTAGCAATCAATAGAGAGAACCCAATCAACTATCCGAACCCCAACCCCTATATCATATTGTACGCACTCGATGAGTGCAGAACAACCATTAAGGCTTATCTGGACAAAGTTTCACTCCCTCCGATTCCCTACACCCGATTGAAACTCTACAGTTTGTAACTCCATTGATATTTATATAGACCTCAACCGGGATTAGGATAGTGCGTGTGTCGTCTGCACCCTAGAATGGGATCCAATTGGTTTTTGAACTATGCCGACGGGCAAAGCCCAGCCAAACTAATCTATCATTATATATATAGATAGAGAGAGAGGGGAATATATATAAAGCAAACAAACTCCAGTCAATAGTATTAGAAGTTAAAGAAAATCAAACTTTCAATTAGTCAGAGACTCGTATGGGGGTATCGAATACAGAGCTCCATTTGATATAAATTACGAACCTTGGTACACCACGCAGGCAGGCAGACATGACGAGGCCTCCAGTGACAAAGCCATAAAAAATGTCACACCTTGACGCACAATTTTTTATTTAATTACAAATAAATATATTTGTATGGCTAAAGCCAAGCAACATACTCGTTATAAATATATATGTTGTTAAGTATATCCCCTGGATATATATCAGAAAGATTTTGAAACGAAATTTATTTGTATAAATGACGAGGTTTTCATGATGTTTTTCCCTGCTCTTCTTGTGCTTTTTTTTGCCATTCATTCATAATCTTATCTGATAAAGCCACAGAGCGTAAGAGTGTGTAGGAGTTAGGAAGATCTTAGTGGGGACTCAGACAGTTGGCTTTAGACTAAGTATGGTAGGGGCAGACATTAGCATTAGCTCTACTTGATCTACATTCATGCATGGTGTTTGTTTGGCTTTGTTTATGGACCCCAATAAAACACTCAGTATTGTGGGTAGGGATATAGTGACTTTATAGTTTTATATACAATATACGTATACATATACAAATTTATTAGATTATGACTGTGAAGGTCAGTGGTGCCACCCACTCCATACCCCTTCTAGAGCTTGTGCTCCAGTTTGTCTCCTTCTAATTCTGTGCGGATTCCATTGTTTGCAATGCGTGGCTCTGGCTCCGTTTCAGGTGTGAGAAATTGGGACCTCAAAGTGGTAACTAGATAAAGCTCTTGTGTGCTTGTGGCAAAGATAGAGATAACCCCGTTGTGGTACAGCTACAGCGCCTCAAAGAGGTTGCTACGACAAATTCATAGTAATGGGGTCGTAACATAAGATGATCCCTTCGATAGAATAGAAAAATTAAGTTATTTACCAACTACTTACACAGTTTAAATAACAAAAAAAAGTATTGTGTAAAGTTCCTTCAACCTTCTAGAAATTTGCAAATCCAAGTGATAAATCGTCAAGTGGAGAGGGCACTTCCTTAACTATTATTTACACTATATGTATATAGTTTTTCTGCTTATCTTTCACTTTGATTTCTAGATCTTCAAGATCTTGTGCCTCTTACGTAATAGCCCACACAATTCTATTTCCACCTTAGCTCCTATTAGTTTGCCCTCAGATTGCGAAATCATCCAAAAATATGTTTTATTTTCTAGAATTTACCCAGTAAATCCTCACCAAGTTGATAATATTGTTGATGTGCTGGTTTTTCCTTTTATTTGTGCACACTCTTCAGATCCGTCAAGTCTGTGTCTAAACACGTTCCGTTCTTTGTTTCGGGTTACGGTGGGGTTGGTGTTATCAGCCCCAGAGCGATGCCCTGTGCTCACTCTGAGAGCCGTGCCCACTTTATCATTAGATTTGGAGTACAAGAACACGCGCTAGATGAAAAATTGCAAAGCAGACTGGAAATTCTAAATTTATTAGATACTAGATTATGAATGTGGACATAACAGGAACTAAAAGGCTTAACATTATTCGTAGTTTTTGAGGGTTTCGTTCTTTTATAGTAGTACTTGTACTAGTACGATGTATTACCACATTAGACCAAATAAACGAGCGCCGAGGGAGAGACAGAGCGACTGTAATAAATTCACGTCTAAGCAAAGTGTAAAGAACAAATAAAAGAGCGAGAGCGAGCAGATAAGAGAGGAACAGCCACAAGAACAGACGGTTTTCAGTACCAGCTGTGGCGGACAGACAGAGATAGCATCAGAGGAAAACAGTATGGAAAGAGCGCTCAATTGAAGCTCAGAGCTTTAAAGCACTAGGTTAAACGTGAGCGCAGCTTTGTCTACAAAGCTTAGTGTAGAGCAAGTCGAGCCATAACTGGGAATAAAAGAAAATACCAATATTCCACATAAAAATGCTGCCAAAGAAGCTTCTGTCAGGTTTTGCCACCTCGTCTCATGAAATACATTTCCTTATAAGTAAGATGATCGTTTACTTTTATTTAATGTTGAAATGTACATATGTAATTCTCGTACAAAATAGATTTAAGATCAAATTTTAGAGCATCCCTAATGTCTCTAACACCTTTGTATTTCTCTACAATCTTTCACCTTGTCTCCAACAAATGCTGTTTCTAGTACCACTGTGACGTTGCCTTTTTTTTTGTTTTTGTTGCTGGTTGAACTTTATCATCTGTGAAAATATTTGTTTGTTTGTCTGTTTGCTCGATTTTAATTGTAAGAAGAGAAGGTACCGTACCGTACGTATCGTACATAAAAAATTAGAGCAAAATCCCCATTCCAAAAATGTTGTTTGCCCAAGAATATGCCGGTTTGCTGGTGTTGGTGGTGTGCTTATCACGTAGGCACTCTATGGCATGATCCCGTGGCCTTTTTCATGCCTATTTCTCATCTCCTAGTCTTGTTCTTCTCTCTCTCTATCTCCCGATACCCTTGCAGAGGGTATTATGAGTTTGAGCAAATGTTTGCAACAGGTCCAAAGTTTCAGTTTTATAAATATGAATTTCCAAAAAAAAATTACAAATATCGAAATTAGATGCTTAAATGTATCATCATATGATCCTCAAGGGTATCAAAAGTTTCGGCCTCTAAAGCTTCTCATCTTTTTTTCTGTTTTATTATTTGTGTATTTTTGTGGTTAATTCTAGTCTTCTTGCTCTGTCACTTATTTGAATTTTGATTGACTAATTGCGCTCAGCTCAGCTCAGCGCCAGGTAAACCTATCCTATACAATCCCCTTTTCCATTACCCAGAACTGACTCTGATGATTGTCGGCTCTTTGTGAAATATTTTTCATGTTTACCGCTTCGACTGGGGGGGGCTGGGGGGTTTGCATGGTTGTTGCTGGGGGCCATGGCATGTGACAGCTTTCTATGGCTATCATAATTTAAATATTGTCATCTATTATAACAAGATGAGCCCCCCGATGAGAATGAAGCATGTTTGTCCACCTGACGCCAGTCAGTCACTCTCCCCAGTCAGCCATCCATCCATCCCAAGTGGAGTCTCGGTTGACATAGCCCCCGGATGGGTTGGCTGTTGGATGTGCCAGAAGTCAGGCAAAAGCTGACGACAGTCTCCCGCGCACATGATCTTTCATATTTTGCATGGTTTTTATTTCACTTTATTTCGCTTGATTTTGGATCTTTAAGGAATGTTTTAAAGAAACCCATAACTCCCGCATGATTATTATATTGAATTTCGAAATGTTTCAATCTTTTCTAACCATAGTTCTCCATATTCTTTACAGGCAAAACCCGCACCAAGGACAAATATCGCGTGGTCTACACCGATTTCCAGCGCCTAGAGTTGGAGAAGGAGTACTGCACTTCCCGTTACATCACCATCCGCCGCAAGAGCGAACTGGCCCAAACCCTATCCCTGTCCGAGCGTCAGGTGAAGATCTGGTTCCAGAACCGTCGCGCCAAGGAGCGGAAACAGAACAAAAAGGGCAGCGACCCCAATGTGATGGGCGGGGTTCAGCACACGGACTACAGCCAGCTGATGGACGCCAAGGCGAAACTGGAGCCGGGCCTGCACTTGCCGCACACCCTGCACTCGATGAATCCCATGGCCATGAACATACCCGCGATGCGCCTGCATCCGCACCTGGCGGCGCACAGTCATTCGCTTGCAGCGGCAGCGGCGCATTCCCATCAGCTCCAGCACAGTGCCCAGATGTCCGCTGCGGCGGTGGCCGGCGTCGGGGCGCTGTCGATGTGACATGATTATGAGGGGGCCACTGCTGCGGCGGCCGCTGCCTCTGCTGCCGATGGACATCATCCAAGAGCAGCGACGTCGGCGTCGACAGCAATGTGCTATAGCAACAATATCATCCACAACAACAGTTATATGGATCATCATCACGAGCAGCATCCGCTAATGGGGGTGGGTGGTGGTGGTGTGAGCGGGCGGGGAGGAGATGGAGGTGGTGCCTACAGTGCTTCTGCTCTTGCAGTGGATTTGGCTTAACCCTTACGGTTGCACAGTTAGACTGTTTGTGACCCCAAGATAGTGGGCGAATGTGAATGGGAGAAGGTAGCGTGGCGCAGCGATGCCTTGGAATATTGCACGTTGTTAATTTTTGTGATTGTATATTCCTGGTGTTATAACGCTGCCCCACGCTCACACGCACACAAAAACCCCTCCAAAAGCTCTCCAATTTAATGTAAATTTGATAAACATACCTTTCCCCCACAATACGCACTTCTTGTATGTATTATGTTTGTTTTTTGTTCAAAAGTAATTTAAAGTAAATGTTTATCGTCTAAGTTTTAAATATCTATGAATCTAGTTCTTAAGTTCTTAAGCCCTGGAAAAACAAATTCACTTTAGCCGTCCCCCCGTTTTAAAAAGAGAGTTAATGCAGCAAGGGCAAGAAGAGAAATACTTAACATAATTTAGTACAAGATCGCACAAGAGATAAACCTTCAAACTTTGGTGCAACTAATTATAAAGAAAACTTGATTCTTCACCCCGTGTAAATATCTAAATAGAAAAAGTGTTTTAACGTTTATTACTTTTATATCGTAATAACAATTAGCTTATAGTGTAATCTAAAATATACCTACGAGTACTACATTTAATGCATTATTTGAGCACAAAAGCAAAATTAAAATAAAATACAATAAAATAAACAATCTAAATAAATGTAACGTTTTTGCCCACAAACAAATACATACACATACATATGTATGTAATACCATGTTCATATAATTTAATTAGTTCAATTATGGCGGCAATTAATTTATATCTGATGTTTGTATGTGTGTATATGTGCTTAGCTATTTAAATAAAATATGAACAAAAAAATACCAACACAAGAACTTCATCTTTTTATTAAGGGTTAATTTGTGGGTTAATCATTCACAATGGTCGCAACGCGACGCTCCACCTACTGCCAGCAACTACAACAACAACAACGACTACAGAAACGTCACGTCAATTGAGCAGCTTGTCAATGAGAGCTTGACGCTCTCAGCCATTGCTTGGCTCTCTGCAGCCACGCCACTATTGCCTGCTCACTTGCACTCAGGCATAACATATAACAGCAGGGCGAGCGAGCTGTCATGCAGCTTTGTGGCCATTGACTTCGTGTCTCTTTATTTTGTTTGCAATTAAAGTTCATAAAAAGTCAATTAAACACACGTGGATTGCAGTTAATATATGGAGAGAGACTGTGCAAGTGTTTGATGGTGGAAAAAGATGAAGTTAAGTTTATTTTTGAATGCAAAATTTGCTGGTGCATCTAAAAGCTACATACATATATACATATGTATGTATGTATGTATATTGGCTTATGATCTGTGCCATTGCTGTGTTTGCAAAGCTATAGCGCTTAAAAAAGTGGTCAACTTGATTCATTTTGGTTTCTTATACATACATTCGAACAATTTGAGGCCAGGAAAAAAAGTGTTCGTTTTTTGTTGCTTTTTAATATCGACTTCTACGAAGAAGAAGTTTCATTTCATACATATGTACATATGTATGTGATTCCTTTAACAAAGCTTCAAGTTGGTATTTGGATCAACATTGACTGTACTGAATTGTACTGTTTAATCTTTTGAGTGCAAACGAAAAAGCGATGATCTTTCTATGTGAAACTTAAGTGAAGAATAAAATATCAATAGATTAAACATTTATTGCACTTATATGAAGCAAATTTCCATGAAATACTAAATGAATATATGTATATGTACATATGTAGTATATAAAGCAAATACCTTTCAAACCCATTTAATTGGCGCCCCATCGACCTGCCGTCACAACAAACAAGACGGCGATCTGAAGTGCTAGACGACAACGACACCATCGATAGGACAGGATGGGTGTAGTGTTCCATTGGGTATGGGCAGCCGGAGGCTCTCAAGCGGTTGATTTATAGAGCACACGATTAGCAAAATCGGAAATGTCAAAGCCGAAAGTTAAATATACAACCTGTCCAGATTTTGATACCCGTGCAACAAAATTCAATACGTGCACTGGCCTGGGCCTGGGCCAAAAACGTTTTAAGATTAAAAACTCTGTCAGAGGCATACCGACGTAATGGAATGAGGGAATGGGTTTTTATTTTCGCTTTGGGGGTTACTCTGTTTGTACACATGGTACCGACAATATTTTGACTTTATGTAAGAGCGATGCGATGCAAAAACCCAGGGACAAGTAACCAGAAATGGACACAGAAAAAACCCACCGATACAGATGCAGATAAAGGAAGTGGAGGACGGCAACGTTTTTCGCACCTACATGCTAAAAAAAAAACAGAAAAATTTGGAACCGAAATTGGGACTGCAGTCGACGGAGCCCGGAGTGTGTGTTTGCATTTGTTTGTTACGCCAAATGCACATGCCGATTCGGGTGTATGTATATCTGTATATCTGTTCCCCCGATGCATGGGCAGAATTTTTGAGGAACTCAACCCGTTCCCGGTGCAGTTCTTGGTCGCTGGCCTTTGGTCAGTCTGCTGGAACGAAATGTTTGACTTTTGCCGACTCCCACAGACTGTTTGATGTCCCACTCCTGCACTCCTTGCACTCCTGACAGCCCCTTGTTTCCAGCTACTGCATTACACAGCAGGGCTGTGGCAAAATTACGGTGAATTCACAGCTTATGTTCTTCTGTGTCCTGTCCGCCATTTTGCAAATGCCATGACATTCTCAAAAATGGATAAAAAGCAGCATCCTCATCCTCTCACTCACTCTCAAGTGATTTATGGTCGGCTGTATCTGGTTTCATGTGAAAGCAGTTGGCCATTGGACGGACCAAGAGCAAGAGCAAGATCAAATGCAGGAGCGGGGTTAACAGAGACCGTATGTGGGGGCTATAAAATGTACGGAGTGATCTTACTCAGATCACTCACGAACGGGGAATAACTTTTATGGCAGGGATTACACTAAAAGAAAATACGAAAAGTATATTTTTAGAGTGAACATTTGTTCAATTTGTATAAAATTCAATTGTTTCTAATAGAAAATTGTATAATCTTAGTTTTATTCTTAAATTGTTTAAATATGAAGGATGCCTTCAAAAAATATTTTGAGAAAATTGATAATTTTTTAAACAAAAATTTGCACACCTTTCCATAATATTTTCATTATATTTTCTGTATGATTTTTCTCAGTGCCTGCACCAATATGGCTGCTAATAGGGTCCAGAGCAGAGTCTCGCATCCGTCCCCCCCTCCAGGCACCGCTTCTTCGTATCTTAATTGGCACCCATGGGGGGGAGGAGGAGACGGAGGATCGTGCAAAGCAGCAGCGACGACCCCTATGAACATTAAAAAGAAAGAGACCCAGAGTCCCGGCCTGGGACTGGGACTGGGTTTTGGGTCTCGGCAGCATAATGCCCAATCATCTTGCTTCTGCTTACAGCTGCTTGCTGCTGCTGGCCGTCCCATTGTCCTCGTCTTTGGATCATAAAAGTTTATGACATCCGACGAAAACTAACGAAACGTTCGAAAATTCAAACTTTTTGCTGTTAACGAAGAAGCCCCCGGTTGCGTCTCCTCGCTGGGATATGCTGCCTGCCGATCAATTCCCAGTTGGCGTTGTATGTCTCTATTAGCGCTGGACAATGGAAGACGATGTGCAGCATCCAGCGGAGTGGATGTGGCTGCTGCAAAAGATTATAAATTGAATGCCATATAAGTCAGGCATCTCCATATATAGATATCTACACATATGTTCGATCCAATCAAGCTGAAACTATCCATACCCCCTCTCTGGTTACGCCTCTGTTCCCTCTTTTGTGCACACATCTTTGACTTTTATGTATTTATTGCTGTGAAAAAATGTTAATTCTTGAACGTTATACTTTTATTTGACTTTTACATTTTGATCTTCTCACCCTGAGAGATCTCTCCATTTACCCGCCTCGTACATAGTTGACTCTTTCGAGTGTGCGTCGTCGTCTAATGTATGTTATATCCAAGAAGATGTATATCTGGTCGATTCGATTCGTTTCGTACTCCTCTACTCTCCTCTACTATGTATTAATTGGACGTTGGCCACATAAAACGGAAAGTAAGCACCATAAATCAATCGCTGAAAGAGATTCGATGTGGAAAGGGTTTACAGACAGTTGGAAAGGCCTTTTTTGGGAGAACCATTTTGATAGAAATTTCTTTAAAAATATTCAAAGTTTTATGCCAAATTCTTAAATCTAATCAGAACTGAAACTGATTTGAACCCAAAGAATTTTTAGTAGTACTCATTAGCAGCCATAAATAATTATAGCCAGTTTCATTTTGTATTATATAATTCTAATATTAATTTATGTTCGTATTAGGGTATGCTTTCTTTAATCGATTTACCTCGCTTATCTGGGGAAGTCTGGCAAGCCATTTTCTGACTCATTTATAAGTTCTGAATAATCTATAATAAAGAGAAGATCGTTTTAATTGTTGTAGACATACATACATACATCGATATTTATGACTGCATCTGAATTAACCGAATTGCCTTATGGATGCGACAGCAGCACTAGTGGATCTACAGTCTTCTCTAGCACCGTCGATTGCTTTTATACGGACGCAGAGAATCATTCCAAGTTGCTATTTGCTTTAGAAGCATCACCAAGGATGGTGGGAATCTATCCCAGCTCACCAAGGCATTGTGCACCACCTAACACGTATTTCCCTGGCTCACTTATCAGCTTACAAAGTCGTCCCTCATTGTTCCATCTTCTTTCTAAAACACAAACTTACTCAAATTTAGACAAATATGTATATTTTTGTGGTTGAAACTCACTTTATATTTGTTAAATATATTTAAATATATAATAATAATATATAAATATTAATATAGGCAAATCACAAAAAATGGTAAATATATGCATGAGAATTAGACTAAGAGGCACATCCTTTCTTATTTACTTATGTTTTTATGGAATTAGCAAAAGTCAGACATATAACGTTAAATAAATTATGTTAAATCATCGTAAAGTATGCATCAAAACAATGCACAAAACAGACGCCAATTTATAAATCATAGACCATACGAATATACATCACCTCTTCTTGAGTCAAAATTTGCATATGCCTTCATATTTTTCGATTTCAAAACAATTCCCAACCTTATCCGGTTATTGTTTTGGTATTTCTGGTTTTGTTAGTTTCAAGTTCAGATCGATCAGACGACTTGAGACTGGAGAGTGGCTTAAAATCGCCCCGGAGACAGTTTGTGTCCATTGTATGCGGGAGTTTGATTAACACCAAATTCATTGTCCCAGCAACGAAATGTTTATTAGTGACCATGCACTAATTAAACTCTGTCGTGTGATTTGTCGACTGTGGTTCAGCTCGGACTATCTGTTTGTCAGTTTGTCAGATTGTCACTGCAAATGAATCGCTGCTCTGTGGAGCAGAAGATCATAAATGCCGCTAAAAGGTGTGGGCGTGAAAAAAGAAAACAACAAATTGGCGTTTGTTTTGGGGCTTTGATTTGATTTGTTGATTGAATTGATTAGAGCCGTGCCCCAGAGTCGTCATGTGTGCATGTCTGTGCGTGCCAGAGTGTGTTTTTGATATTTTTTGGTTGTGGTGTGGTTGGCGAGGGTGTAATTAATCACAACACTCAAGTTCGTCATTTGACAAAAAGTGCTAACTACGCTAATAAAAGGAATTTACATAGAAAAACGCACAAAAGTTTATCTAAATCGAAACTGAATTGTACGAGTCAAAGCGAGTTATTACACATAAATTTCAGAATATATTATTTCGCATAAAATCAAATGAGATATCCATAATTTCAGTTTTTTTGAGTTCTTTCGCGATTTAAATTCAAAACTGGCGCCCACTGCAATGTAACAGCTAGTTACACAAGCTAGCTGCTACAGCACACAGTGACAGTGAAATTAAAAGAAATTAAATAGAAAAACATATCCCCAACTAAAAACTTTCAAGGACAGTAAAAAGCGTATATTGGCTTATTAATGACAATTAATATTCTGTAATCTACTATCTTTCGCTTTAAATTCAAAATCAGCTTTTGGCGGCATTATTAATTGTACTCCTCATCAAAAGCTAACTGCTACAGCACTTGCGCATATCAATAAATATGCATACGTTTTTTGTTTTGACTTATTTGGTCATTTAAACATCTTCGCGCAGTTCAGGGGTAAAGATTTTGTGGAAATTTTGTTTCGAAGTAAGGAGGAAGGACATAAATAATTTAAACACAGCATTTTTTTCGCTGTTTATTATAAGCTCTTCACCTGTTTAAATTAAGCGGGCTAAGTGGGTTAAGTTAATTTTTCCGTCAGTATATTTTCGGTATATTTTAAAAATGAGACGGTATACTGCGGTCACACTATTGTTAACACACCGTTTCTGGTATTTTTAATTCATTTCGATATATCGTTATATCGATATATAATATAATGGTATATTTTGTCGATTTCATCAATCTAATAATTTAATTTTCAAAGTTATATAGAAATCCAATAAAAGCAGTTATTTAAATTAAGTCAGTTAAGTAGAAAATTGATTCATTAATCGGTGAAAATTATGTGGGCATGGCTAGATGTTCTATATAGCTATTAATATTCGACGGAATATCAAAATTGAGGAATATGTATAATAGAACTTGAGCTCGTCAGTATATTTACGGTATATTTTTAAAGTAAGACGGTATATTTTTGAGGGTCGGTCACACTGCTCTACTTTTTTGATTGTCATTCAACAAAAATTTGTAAATTTCGTTAAATTAATATAAAAACTGTTCATATTGAATACAAATTATAAGCAAAATGGTGAGTAATGTGGTGCGACTATATTGGAGGTTTATTAACACAGTGCGAATGCGTCCCGCGTAGAATCAGCAATCGTTGAAAGTGCAGCCTAGCGAGTTGACGGTGCTCCATGCATCCGGCAAAGTGGGAATGCCCACGGAGGAGAACTGCTTTAATCAACTGTCCCATGTGCATCGTCTTCGCGACTCGGAGGCCAACTACAATGAGCACCAGTATTCCCTCAATATGCAGATGCTACGTAATCGCGAGGGTCTGGGTATTCCCTTGAAGATGGGTATGGAACGTCACTCCGCTCGCCAGGTGGGACGTCTGCCCTTCTTGCCCTCCAGGTGAGTGGTTGCCATAGGAAAATATGGGTCTTGTTGTAATGTGCTGCTTCTTTTAGCAACTTCATGGATGATGTGCTGACTGGACGCAATGAAAGTATCAACTTTGAGGACTTTTTGGGTCTGCCAGAATACAACGAGCACATGCGTCAGCCACACGCCGTGGTGGAGAAATCTCTCGGCATCTACTAAATCCACGTACTCTTAAAAACGCTTAGCGTCTAGTAAACATTCAAAACGATATAATTCAGAAAATAAATTAAATAAGTGGTCCCCGGGCTAACAGATGAAAGAACGTGCGATTCCCTTAATTTTTGAGCCAAATTCATTTATTTCTTCATCGCTGTAAGGTCAATATTTAGCTAGTTTCTTTAAACTTATACACTTTATTCAAACAAAACTAAACGCTAACTGAAATATTGGCAGAAAGGATTGTTTCTTGTACTCAGGAGATTCGTTAAAATTATAAATTGGATATAAAAACATTAGAGGAAGTACAATTAAAGATTTTTGTATAAATTAAACAAAAATATAGATTGTAAAATGGACGAATTCGTTTCGTAAAATAAGGCTTACATTTAGGACAAACCGAAGAATAAACGGAGGGCATTTCACTTAGGGAAACTCGAAGCATTTCAAAAACGATACAAAAAATGCATATATACATAAAGATAATCAAATTTGGATACAACAATAACTGGTCAAATCAATATAAATAGTTTAAATACTCGACTTTGTTCAATTACTGGAATATGCTTCAGAGATTTATGTTGTAATTTGTTTTCGTTTCGTTATATGTATATGCAAGAAGACAATGCTGAAGCTTAGGCTGATTTCCGATTTTAGTAGATCCAATTTACGGGCACCCACTGATCTTCGTGGCTCATCTGATCGAGGGTCTCCACCACCTGGCGGAACGTCTCATCAAAGTCCTCGTTGATAATGACCATATCGAAGTATTTCTCGTACTTTCGCTGAACAAAGCTGCTCTCCTCGACGGTGGCAACCAGATCGTCATCCTGCGGAGAGAACCGATACAAATCGTATGTGTTAAGCAATGTCTGGGTATTCAGGCAGATATCTAAGAGGGCTACTAGTGTGGCCTAGGGGTCGAGTGTGCACAAAAGCGGATGATCGTGTGTGTGTGTAATACAAGATTAATCCTTTTTTTAGAGTGCATATATCTAGGGTGGGGGACTTTACCTCATAAAGCGATGCTAACGACTCGAGCGTACGTGCCCGCCTGGAGCTGAAGCGTATGGAACTTTGACGATCAAACTGTGGAAATGGAATAGGGTAACGTACAAAAATTAAAGGAGTCTATGGGTTGGCCACTACACTAAGGACATACGGATAGATTTCTATTGGAACCGGTGGCCCGACGATCGGCATAGATTGTCTTGAGCTGATCCATGCCTGGCGCCGCAACAAATATAACAAATGGCATCAGTTCCTGGCTATTGTGAAGGATCTTGAGTGCGTTTGGTGCACAGTCCAGGATGCACATGCGACCGCTATTGATTACATCCTTGATAGACTGCAAATGGGTGCCATACAAATTGCCATTGTGTTCGCCATACTCGAGGAACTCGTTCTGTTTGACGGCCTCCTCCATTTCCTCACGATCCATGAACCAATAGCTTGTACCATTTTCCTCTAAAGCGCGCTTCGGCCGACTTGTATCTGTTTAATAGGATGATATATAATGCATTTTCTGTGCTCATTTAAGGGGCTGTATGACTTACGAGGAATAACTGCTCCAAACTTATCCACATCGCTGTTGATCAGGCGATTTTTGAGCGTGCGTCTGCCCACACCGGAGACGCCAATCAGTACCAGGGTTTTCCTGCGGAACGGCGGCATACGGGTGACCTCCTCATAGAGGAGAAGTTCCGCCTTATCGAACTCGCAATTGGCCACGGAACGGTACATGGTCTTTCGTTTTCGTTTGGAGATCTGCAACGAGAAAAATGGGATTAGATAGGGATTACATTATGGCTTTAATAAAGCACTCACCCTCGTGCCACAGATTCCAATTTTGTGCACATAGTCCGCCTCGGGTGCCACAAAGGCTTTACGCCGCTCCTCCAACTCTTGTGAGGGAATTAGACCAATTTTATCCGATTCTGCGGTTATATTCTTGGCCTGCCACCAATTGGGGTCCTTGACATTGATGATCTGCAAAATGTCACCCGATTTGAAGGGCAGTCCAATATCCCTGCATGGCAGTAAAGAATCCTCTGAGGGATTATATGCAAACAAGGCACGCATATAGCACTGTGGATAAACAGATACATCAGATATTAATATAGGTTTGTCTAGTTTATATGTGTAGCTTAAGCCAAGATTTACTTACTTAGTTGCAAGTGATTCGAGAATTTTGAAGTGGGACTTTGTTCTAAGATTAGCTATTATTTATTCAATTATAATTTAGGAGTTTATGAGTGGAATGCTATATCGTTCCTATATGTGAATACTATATGTTTGTTTATTGATATTGCAAAAATCTATGGAATTTATGTTTCGTTCTCAAAATGCACTCAAAAATGTTAGGGGTATAGGAAATTATAGAAAAAATTGGGGGTAACACCTAAAGCAAAAAATTTCTTCAAAGCTAATCAAAAATCCATGCAAAAAAGCAGAAAATTCTTGGAGAAATCAAAGACAATATAAATACATAGTAAGATGAGGCCCTTACATTTTAATGGTTGTATGCAGCGATGTGTTTGAGATCGTAAAAATCTAAAAACAGACTCGATTCAATCACCAAAAATGGTATACCTTAAAATGTATAGGCTACTATTTATTTTGTCTTTGGAGCAACTCTCCGATAATACGGTAAATATTTAAAACACATCCAAAACTTACCGTTAACTTCTTGCCCGTCTCAAGACCCGCGATGCCATTCTGTTTTACCTGACCCCCACTCACGGTATAGCGACCACTCTTGATCTCCTCATCCACATTGGGCCCAATTTTCAGGGTCAGATTCTCCTTGGCCCGAGAGACCTCCACCTGGAGCTCGTCGGGCGAATGCACTGGTGTCCCATTCACCTCCAGTATAACATCACCGACATGCAGCATGCTCTGTTTATCGATGACACCCCCAGCCAGTATCCGAGCGATAACCAGCTGCTTGTACTCGTCCATTTCGACGGTGAGGCCCAGGGGCTTGCTGGGATCCCGACGCAGACCCACCATCTTGATGGTCTCCACTGGCATCTTGCTCTTTAGTATATCCTCCGTGTAGAGATACTTCCCAGATGGGCGTTGACTGGCTAGTTCTAGTTGGGTGGTTGAGCCGCCGACAGCTTTCAAACGTTGCTCGAACAAATACCCTATCTCATCGTGGGCGCGCAAGAGAGCCTAAGAAAGAAGAGAGGAAATAGTGAAAGAGAATGTGAGTATGAGGCAAATTGAGTGGAAACAAATAAGAAAGAAAGTTTAGGTTTGGGGGAAAATGCTTTTGGTACAGTCGACCTCCTTTGCATTGCAAGCACTTGATTAACTTAAGAACCCCTCTTGAAGGATATGCAGAATCTACGAAAATATGCAGGAGGAAAAACCCTTTCTTGTACTTACACGAAAATGAGGTTGGGCCAAAAGTTTAGCGAGTTCTCGCGACTCCAATCGCCTTGAGGGTGAAAATTTACGTATGATATCGTCACAGATCGGTTTGTTGTTGAGATGAGCGGGCAGAAAGACTGGCACTGGCTGTGGCTCTGTGGGATTTAGCTATAAGAACCAGAATAATAAACAGAATAAGCATCAAACATTTGTCATGTACATCTAATTAAATTCTGACTGAGGCTGGGGCTGGGGCGTGCCTGCCCTAGGTCAAGTCGAGTCATATCGTCTTGTCTTGAATCCATCCATCCAGCCACTCCATCCCATTCACTTTGGGTTAATTGAGTGAGTGCGTTAATTGGTACAAGTTCTTTTTTGGAGAGGCTCTCTGGCACTGTTTCCACCCTACCCCCATTTAACCCCAGTGACCTTTTGTGTGTGTTTCGCAAAAGACAACGAAATATTTCGAGTCTTAGGTCAAAAATTGGGTCGCTCTTGCCTTTAATTTGGGTCGTCTGAGGTCTACAAATAAAAAGTGAATTTTCTGCTTTAATTGCACATAATTTCTATCTTCCGGCTTTGCCATTCTTTTGTACCCCTTTTTTTTGATTTTTTGTTTTGGAATTTGCTTTTGTCGTCGGCGGCGCCTCCTTCTTGTCGTGTATATATTATTTTTCCCCCTTTTGCAGTTTCCGCCCACGCGTGGGGAAGACATGACGAGACGGCTCTGAGTCAACCTCATGCAATATTTATACGAATACGTATACGTCTGTGTCTCTCTATATATATATCTTTTCTCTTTCGCTGTTTCTCTTTTTCCACTAGATGATGGAAAATACCAGGAGTGTAGGGGGAGGACGTCTATAGAGCAGTTGATTATGTGGCGAAAGCTTGGTCAATTGCACTTGCTGAAAGTACATTCTTTCCATGAACTTTTATTGATTTTCTATTGAAAGAATACTTGAAAACCTGCTTGAAACTACTTTACCAGATATTAGAACAATAATTTTTAATTATTTTTCTCTACGTATCCAAGAATATTCCTTCAGCCTTCCATTGAATGGTACTTTATTATCCATCAACTGAAACCATTCCTCTCCTCGTCCAATCACCTTCTCCTTAGCTTCAAACCGAATGTCATATCACACTCTACCGATAAGGTTTAGTAATCTAACCCTTCCTCTTCTTATTCACTTCCTCATTTCCACCCTGGGATATTGGAATTGGCTTGACACCGTCGACTGCTGTTTATTTATTTAGACATTTTTGTCTGACGAAGATCATGTTTCGGTGCCCCAGCCTTCAGTATTTCAGCTCTTTAGCTCTTCTTCCGTGTGAAAAGACTGAAGAAGCCCCACCACACACAAAGACACGCGACAGATAATCCCCATCCTCGTGAACACCCACACAAACACAAGCACACGCACAGGCGACAATTGTCATTGATACTTTTCTGCATTTGCTGTACCGTTCCTCTTTCTGTCTGTGGTACCCTTTTCAAAAAAGAGTACCATGATTTTGAGTAGATGTTACCGATTATTAAGGGTAAAATTATATCTATATATCTATTCTATTCTATTCTTGCAGTCTCTTAGTTTTGGACCTACATTCAAATGTATTTGTTGTTGGTAAACTCAAGATCGGATAACAATATCATATATTATATCATTCTGAATACCTCATCTAGACCTGATTAGATAGATCGATCTAGAATAATCGTTCAAAATGTCTTTGTTTTTGAAGA